TGTCAACATCTTTATTCGATGTGAGATTATATCCCTTAATAGGTAGGAGAGCAATTATGCAATTTTCTCCATTGGAAATAGGCTTTTGGATTTTGTCCATGCTATCTAATAATTTCTTAAAATGTTGCCACCAGATAAAGTGGTGTGCAATCCCCTGCTAATTATAGAAATTGATGTGTGCACTCAATGAAGAAAGAAAGTACTAGACGTGATGTCATAGAAGATTTTACTGAACTTGATGAAACGACTAATGAGTGGCAATTATGTACGACTAACCCAAATTTGGGCTCTGATAATTAGATTTTAGCTTATACCTTTGGATTTTTTCTCCACTGATGATCAAATTAAGATCCTCAAACAACTCTGTAAAAGTTAATTACTTCGAATTGAACCATATTGGTTAAAAACATTCAATTGCAATATGAAGTTTACAGAATATCTGCAATGAAGTAAGCATGTTTGCTATGATCATGGTGATAGTTTTTTCTAGTTTTGTTTCTTCTACTGTCTACAAATTGTAGCTTGCTGGCAGTGTCCATCACTAGACACCGGATATTCTGTTTCGACTCTTGCGATCTCTGATGATGCTCCATTGGTGACTGCTGTTACTTCTTGACCAGTCTTCTGTAAGTCATGATTCACAAGTGGTGTATACTGATGCAATGGAGTAGTATTTCTGTCAAGATTAAGCAACACGCCAACTGTGAAAACTGAACAAATAAACATCGGGATTGGACCAAAAATCCAAAGCAGCAAATTCATAGCAAAATAAAGTGATCTCATGCCAATGAGCCAGAAATTACTTCCTCTTATCACTTCGTTCTCAACATATCTTACTGGGATATCACTATTTGGCATGCTTATGAGGAAATTGGCATGAACTAAATACCTTGCTGTCTGAAAAAAACAAACAAAAGCAACCAGGAAGCAGGAGAGAAGAGCTATGTATTTGATGAAAACAACAGATGAGTCTATGCTTCCATAAACAAAACTGCTTCTAAAAATGTTTACAGAGGAACTCCCAATCCATGCACCAATTAAGGAACTGAGAACAAGGGAGATTGAAGAAAGTGAAGTTGCTGCAGATATGTTGCTGCTGATCACATTTATTGCCGGTCCCCGGTCCTTGACATCAACCTGCAAATCACGTATGTTTCAACTCGATTAAGCTAAATTCAATGCATTTATATTGCATCTAAGTTTAGTGATTATAGAGAAATTGACAGTTTTCTGACCTTAGTCATTCTTTCAACCCAAGCTCTTTTGTTATGATTCTCCAACCCCATGATTGTGGTTTCAGGGAACTTTAAGTATCTGTACAGAAGGAATAGATGATATCCAAACATGAAAAGTAAACCACTTGGGACTAAAACAAGATCCAAGTAGTCTTTCCTCCAAATTAGTCCCATCTTCCCTGAGCGCAACTACTAGGACTCGTGTTGGAGGGCTTTTGAGCGTGAGATACCACTCATGCAACAGGTAGAACCCGGACTGGAACTCTTGAAGGTGCTACCAACCGCCTGAATTACCGCAGCAAACCCTCTCTTTACTCGTTGGCTTTTATTCTCTTTCAATCAACAAGGTGAGGTCAGTATTTGCCTTCTTGTTTCATGGTGTTAAATGGACAAAGAAATAAGCAGTCTTTATTGTTTTGCTGATCTTGATTAAACATGAATTATCATGGAAATATTACATTATGGATTAGGTTAACCTTTATTTGGCCAGTGGATATGCATTATCATGCAAGATAGGCTTGCATAATATAGTATTATCAACAGGGATTTGTAGTTTAATTTTTTGAGTCTTAATTTTTTAAGTCTACGCTAAACCAGACTGTCTTGTCTGCCAGCTTAAATACACGTTTCTATCTAGATTCCAATTTGAAATTTTGACTTAAAAAAAAAAAACACACATTTTCAACTTTGTGCAAGAGTAAGACCCGTTCAACCTACTTATATAATAAATTTCGATCTAAGAAGGATGAAGGATCATGCATCAAAGGATTTTATGGTTGTCGATTTGGAGGTCAAAAAAATAAATTTAACATCAAGGTTCTGTGATGTTAACAAGATATAAGTCGAGTTTAATCTTTCTTAACAATTTTCTTTCTTTCTTTTTGTTTTTCAAAAAACTTGAAATCCAAATCATTCTTTTCTAGTAGGACCCCGAAGGTTGACTAGGCTATATTCGGACAGCCTTCAGTTTTATCATAAAAAAGAAATTCGTATTTAGAATAATAACTATTGTTTTTTTCCAATTTAATGTACGTCCATAAAATATCAAATATGTGATAAAAGAATATTTTCTATCTCAAAATAGAAACTCACACATGGAAGAAAATTTCATCAATTACAATTTCATTTTTTTTAATTATTAATTGTTACACTTTTCTCATTATTGACTTGAAAATGAATGCAAGTTGTGGGCATTCACACTGGCCAACTTTCATTTGTTTATGGAAAATGGCAAGCTGGAGACCTTTCGCCAACTGCCATTTGACTATAAGACGAGTGAAAGGTGGAGAGCGGGTCGGGTTGCCAATTGAGACCACCCAATATCTATATGGACTTCACATGGCTGGCATTTTTATTGGGTCGGGCCAGATTATACATCGAAACATACTACACAAATGAGTGAAGTCATTCTAACGGGAGTTGGACGGAATGACGTTTTGCGCAAGAAAATGCAAAGGTAGGGACGTTCTGTACCAAGAAATCAAACGTAGGGACGTTTTCCACAATGACTGTCATAGGTAAGGACGTTTTGCGCCAATAACCCTATGATTAAATACCTTAATCTATTTGATAGAGTGGGTGTCATTTGAGTACTTTTCCATCTTGTTAAAGTCTTGACAAAATTTAGGGAGGGGCAACTTAACATCGTAACATACATGAAACAAGTCCGATTCATAAGAGTGGGGACAAAAGTTTCAAATTAAGAAACTATATTTACCTCGTCTTTCATTATTAGTGAAATAGATCAAATAATATTAAATACATTATTGAATCATGTTCAATAATACGTCTTCAGTTTGAATTGATGATGAAAACGCTTATTATCTGGTGTCACATTGTGAAGCAAGAACAAGAAGTTAACTCTTATTCTTAATAATTTTTTTTAGAAAAGTGATTTTTTATATTGGTTGATTTTATATTTTATAAAGTTAAATACTTTATAATATTAAACTATGTTAATTTTGGTATGTAATTTAATCTAATCTAGATGTACACTAAAAAGTATTCTCTTGATTCCTCTGTTTGTGCATCACTTTTAAAAATAATAAATAATACGATCATTTGCCTTGTGCTACCCAACTTTTAGAAATTAAATAATTTTCCTTATTATTTTATGAAATCATGTGGAGAATTAAAAAAGAAAAAGAAATGAGTGTCAATTTTATAATTCTAAATTTCTCTTCGAATATAAGTTTGTTTGAGATTATAATTCTAGTGCTGTTGCGAAGTGTTTTCTTTTGATTTTTTTAATGATTTTTGCTTAATCTGCTGTATTTATTTAAACTTGGAACTTCTATTACTCAGTTCCCTAACTCGATCGTCAAATGATTAACGATTTTGCAATCAAAGCGATCACTAGGAAACTCGATGGATACTCGTTGACCTAAATTGGATTTTTGCCAAACCCGATCAATAATTCAATTGACGAATTCTCATAGTAAATTTTAAGTATATTTTTGCTCTTAATCTTATTTGATATTGCGTACCAGATACGATCTTATAGTTATTTCTTGATTTTAAATTACATTGTTTCATGTATAACATTAAGAACCTGATGAATATCAAAATTCAATAAAAATAAATTCGAATTGAACCAAAGCCCGTTCGATTTTATTATTTTCAAGAACCAAAAGATCTCTAAAACGCTAGGGTGTGTGATAGAGGATATTTTCCATGGAAAATGGAATTCAAATTCCATTTTCCAACTTTTGGCATCTTTGATGGTACAAATTTTCCCTAGAAAACTTTTTCCAAAATTCACTCACACGTGCCAATTCCATGATTTGGTGGAA